TGTGTATATATATATATGTATGCTTACCCCCGTCCCCGGCGACAGACCATCGCCGTGAAGATATAGACGTGGTTAGGGTAAAAGAAGCTTAAGGGTAGTTGAAGTGGGTGGAAATGTTTAAGACCGGCAGGATTGTACAATTAGGACAAATCGCCGTTAATCTTAATCGAGAGTTCATTATCAATGTGGCAAGTCTTTATGCGGTGTGATTACATATGCAAGTACGGTGCTTAGTTAAGTTACTACATCGCCAAGCAATCCTTCCTAAACTTGTCAGTACAATAACACAAATTTGCAGCACAATTCAAACGCACATGTTTGCTTAATGTTAATGGTCATCGTTTGCCGTTTAAAACGACAAGGCCCAGTTCGACCATTCAATTATGGACATCATGACTTGGTGTACCTGATGCACAGGCTTAAGATCAACTAAACCCGGGAAAGACATGTACAGATTTGCTGTTATAGAGACACGGTGTCAACAACCATCTTAGCGGAATGCAAAACTGAAAAGCTAGCCAAAGCATGAGTCACTATAGTTGATTTTCCACAATAACAATCCTCCAGGTTCTAAACAAGTGGTGGTACCTGATTAGCCCATGATTCTATTAAGGCACGGGTGTTAATATTCACAAGCTATGTGCTGGTAGTTCTATACAACTAACCCAGAATGCGAACAAACATAGGACTCAACTTATCTGGTTGGTCTGAAGCGGTGTGAACAAATGATTTTCCAAGGGAGGTACTGTACGGAGTGTTAACTGCGCGAGCATCACTGCAGTAAGCAGAGCGGCAAGTATAACCACAGTATATAGCAGGGACAATGGTAACGGTAATGGTAGTAGCTATACCGATGCTAAATGCACTAGTAACACAAGAGTGGTCGGACTGGATGCGATAAATTGTGCGTAGAATCAGCAGAATGTATTAGTAGTGTAGATGTGACTGAGAATGTAAGTGGAGAAGGGATAGGTTTGCATGGGTATAACGATTGTAATTCCAGTAAAATTCCCCATACCTACGATCAAACAAGTGTGTGACGAATTTCTCCAAATTGCTACCGTTGTTGAGATTTACGGTTGGGTCGACAGATACACCTGAAGACTAGTGCAATGGTGTTAAGATTACAATGCATACGGACATTCAACGGCTTGTTGAGTATATGGCTGTACGAAGTCGTGAATCACGAGTTCATGTAGAAGACTACAGAACATACCGACAGCATTGAAAGTAATTGTGCGTGAACAGCTGGAAGCTCAAGAACGGCGTCTGCGTGAGTCACGAAACGATAATGCCAGCCACTTAAGCATAACTACCACGCTCGAAACATCAGGAATCAATCTATGCAAAGCACATCTGTTGCAGTTGTTACTCATGCGCATAGTAGTCCCGATTACACTATAGGCATGTGGAAGCACAACAATTTGATTAATTTGTAATGAAACGGCTACTGGTATCTGATCATTCAACAAAAAGATTGTGTTCAGAAGCCTGTGGAGAAAACTTCGGTAGACTGGGAGTTTAGACTCACAAAAGAGCTGTATAGATGCTTTGGTATAGGATGTAAGGCACATGGCTTTGGTATCAGGATTTCCGGCAAGAGCAACGGCGCGCAACACCAAAGATGAACGACGAGGCCAAAAAAGCAAGAAACAAAGATCCAGAAGCACTGCCGGAACTGGTTTGTTTTTTGGGTGTTTTGGTGGTGCAGAGTGTTCTTATACCGTGCCGAGTCTCCATAGCACTCGGAACACCAAAGCCACAAGAGCAAAACAATGCAACACCACAAACCACTACGAATGCGGAACAACAAAGTCCCACAAGTATCGACGCATTTCCGGCGTTCTCTGCAGATCTTTCTTTGTTGTTTGATTGTTTCGTCTTCGGTTGAGGGGTTGAAGCCACGAACCGAAGCCAAGGGCCGGAATCGCTGTCGAGAGCAGTGTTCTAAAGCGCGTGGTTTCTGACCATCTCTAAGTATGTACAGATGTATATATATATATAATATGTACATTTGCATGCATGTGTATTTGTATGTGTATATTATATATATATATATGTATCCACATGTGTAAAATGTGTATATATATATATATATATCATGAACATGTATTTATGGGTTTATGATGGTTTATGTATATGTAGGTATACCACTGTGCATGTAGGTACGCTTGGAGGAAGGCAGGTGCGAATGCGAAAAAGCCATATGAAATACGAGGCTATGACGATGAACGAGTGCACGTGTGTTATCGCATACAGAGGTGTATTCATGATGTATAGATACACTGACACAAATACATTATGCCGGTTTGTATGCCTATGTTATAGACGTGCGGAGAGGTTACAGAAGTATGCTTTGTATCGTTAAAGTATTCATCCTTGTCATGGCCATGAAAGTATATTGTTTCCTCCAAGCATTGCCGCTACCGGTGCGGGTATTCTTTGCCCCGCCTAGTTGTCTATGCGCACGTCATACACTTACATGTCCTGGCCTTCTTGAGTTCTTACACTGAGGTTTCTCGCTGGCGCTGCTGGTGGTTGCTTCCCTGAAGGCCGAACAGGACCGCCGGCTCCTGACCAAGAAGGGTCTGCATAGCAACCAAAACGCGACGAAGAGCTTGAGCCGGGGGCAGCAATCTTCCGGCGGCTTCAAGAGCGCCCATGTATGTTGGTCAGTTTGCCATGCAGAGCTCCAGCTGAACGAAGGGATAGAAATAATTCTGTACAGACATAATCTACGGGTGTATGCCTTCTTATCTTGCTTCATCGTGGAACTCCCATAAAGATGCTGTGGTTTGTTTCTTTGTCATGAGGAGAACCTCCGCGGGAAGTCCACGCAAGAATCGCTCCGCTCCGCTCGTCGCCAGGCCTTGGCTTCGGTTCGCAGCCGCCAGGGCCAGGCCCGCCAGGGTCCCACTGCGAGGCGCCCGGGGGGGAACCGAATTTGAGCTTTGCCGTTCAGTGCAGACTCCGGAACTGGTATATTTGGGCACCACTGCTCGCTTGGGCTTCGACGTCGGGGTTGCAATCTTGGGAGATGCGGCGGGTGTCGGGGGTGACCCCCGGCGGCTTTGGCAGGATCCGGAAAGTGCCGCCGGCGACGGCGATGGGAGGCCTGGGCCTAGAGAGCAGATCGGGGCGGCGGCGTTTGCGGGGGAGAGAGCGATGCGCAGCTCTGCTGTCTGAAGGCCTTCGCTTCCGGGTGCTCCTCTTGGATCACGCTCCTCGGCAGCGGGCGCCGAGCTCTCCTCGGCTTAAGACTTGCGGAAAGGGGGGGCTGAGTCCATGTCATCAGGACGACACGACGGTGAAGGGCACCGAGGAGAGCATATTCAGCTGCACTCTGGCTCACTCCGAGTTCTCATAGAGGAAGAGGGAGAGATTTTTTTGTTGTATGGTTATGTGGTATGTTAGATGGACATGGACGGAGGAGGTGCACTATCCGGCTCACGTCGACAGCCTTCGCATCCTCCGGCCGGACCTGGTCCCGGTGTCTTTGGAGGAGTGGTTCCGCCGAAACCACGAGCCCGGTGCCGGGCCCTCAAAGAACACAAGCAAGCAGCGGTATATCGGTATCTCTTGAGCCGCGAGCGCGCACGCCCCGAGGTCTCGGCCTACCTGAAGCTGCTCTTCACTTCGGAGCAGATGGTGCAGGAACATGAGATCTGGGAGAAGGCCATGGAGCAGAAGATGCCGGCTTTCTACGAAGGCCTTCGGCCGCTGTCGCTGCCGCTTCGTGATCGTGAAGATGTGAGTGTCGTGTTCTGCGACTCTTGAGGCATGGCCGAGCCACTTGGCCGCCCCAGCCATTTCTCCAGTTCTTCTCCGCGGTTTCAAATTTCAAGCTAGAGTTCAGTTGAGCGTTGAAATTCTGAGGCTTCTGAAAGAGTACCGAGCCCGGGGGGGCCGCTTCTCGTCAGCACCAACTAGGGGAGGGAGCGGGAGGGAAGGGAATGGGAAGGGAGGCACTGAGCATCCACGAGGCGTGGCTGTGGTGTCCCACAGCCCGGCACACGTCATCCAGCGCCACTACGATGCCCATCCATGGACCGAGCACATTCGTCCAGATCTGGTCTTAGGCTGGGACAAGGACGGGGCGACCGTCTTTGCCGGGTGATCACACAGCATTCTGCGTGTCTTGTTGACAGAGCAGCCCTTTTTGAAGATGCACCCCTTGGGAAGTCCACATTGAAAGACTGTCCACGAAGATTGAGACAAAGATCCGATACATCCCGCCAGAGATGGCCTCTCAAGCCATTAGCCTACGTTCACCAGGACCCTGCGAAACGAAAGCCTTCACCCTGGCCGGCGCTGCATGCGCGGCTTGGCGGAAGCTTTTGAAGCTGGCTGTTTCCATGCATGGCAAGCGGACGCAAGCGGTGAAATACACTACCTTCTCGTGCTTGCGAGCTTTTTTGAGTTGTTGTGGGACACGCCTGCCAGTGCTCGCGGCACTGCAATGGACACCGTGGTTCTCATGCATTGCTCACCACTATATCACACCATCGTTCTGTTCGTCATCATCATCGCCCTCATCACCATCCGTCAGCATCGTGGTTACTCATCATCACCATCACCATCACGATCATCGTCATCGTCATTCTCATCAGCATCATCATCAGAATCAGATGCATCATGAGCATCATCGTCAGCAGTAGTCAGTAGTAGCATCAACATCATCACGACTAGCATCATCCTTCTTCATGGTTACCGTGACCATCATCATACTTAGTTAATATCTTCGCGAGAATCGTCGCATACCTGACAAGAGTGATGCCTGACAAGGCTTTGCCCGGAGAGTGGTAATAGGTGTTTGTGTACACGCATATATATATATATACTATATATATATATATATGATATATATATATATAGACATACATATACATATGCAAGCACATGTTTTATATAAATGTGTGTTGATGTGTATACGCACATGATATCTGATCATTTCAACCCGTTCGGTTCTCCTTGTGCAGTTGCTTGTGTGGCAGCTGGGTCACATATTGTTACTGAGCTCGACGAAGCTCGCAGCTCGCATCGACCGTCGATGGTCAGTGTTCGGCACGCATGGAGGTTGCAGCATTTTGGCGTGCAGCCTGCGGAAGTGTTGGCGCTGGATGACCTCTCGCCTGGAGCACCTTTGAAAGCAGATCATGGGCTGTAAGAGCCCCTGTGCGGTCGTCCAATCCGTAACTAAGCAATTTCATGCACTTTCCGATTATCCGTGAAGCTCGAGGTGAAAATGGCCAAAGCTGCCGGAATCACAGCCGTAGCGGCGGGCTGGGGACATAATGTGCAGCCCATCCAGGTCGGGGTTTCGTCTTTCTCAAGAGTTCTACATCATGAGTGATGCACCTACTGCAGCACAGGACTACATGCGGCGGGAGTGTGCGCAGTACTTCGAGACGGTGCAGGCTCTCGTGCAGACTGCAGGCATGCATTAGTATCCCATCTTGCGAATGGCTTGCAGGACTTCGCTGACTTCCTTCTCACGTCTCGAGCCTCGGCGCTCTGAGAGAAGCAACGCCGCTGCGCGACTTCAAAAAAGTACATTCCACCAGCCAATCGCCCGCAGCTCCAGGTTGAAATACCCGGGCCGTCTGTCGTGTGGGTCCTGTGCAAGGTTACAGCAATCACTGGCAAGCTTGAAAACGCTCACCATGCGCTTGGCAAACTTGAGCTCAAGTCGACACGGTAGCAGCGGGCAGCATGGACCATCACCATCACTTCGAGGCCGTTGTCAGTAGCCAGTAGCCACGGTGCTCAGAAGCATTGTGCAGAAGCCCTGGTGCAAATCTGCTTTCTGCCAGTCCCGGGCACCGGCATCGGTTGGAAGCTCGGAGTGCTTCGGTAGGCATTCTTGCACGGCAGGTCTCAAGTCTAAGTCTGGCACTGGTGTAGTGCGATGTTCTCACCGCGTCTGAAGCTGTTTGCAACCCAAGCTAGAAACCTGTGTAGTAGCTGACGCTTCGTTGAGTGGAGCCCAGCGATGCTTGGCAGCATTCTCCTCGGTCTTGCAAGCTACGTGCTCTACTATGTGCTCTTCGGGGCCTGGCACGAGCTTGCCCACGTCTTGGCTGGCATCTTGGTCGGCTGTCCGGCAAGCCTGAACCTCCAGAACCTGATGACGAGCCTTTGTGGGAGGCAGGTGCACATCAAGACCTCTCCAGGCTGGAGAAGGCTCTGGGTGCGGCACGCAGGATGGCTCGCCTCCCTGGTCACGGCGGTTTTGGTTCTCCGCATCGGATCTCCGATGAGCTGCAGTATGCCTGCAGCCGTGACTGCAGTTGAGGCCGTTCTGTCGGATCTTCTGCAAACCTGGGCGCGAGCTCAAGAAGAGGGGTTCTTCCTGTGTGGGAACTTCGGCATGGTGATCCTGCAGAAGACTTGGGCTTCTTCCCCCCAGAAGATCAAGGACGTCCACGAGAAGATGGTGGAGGTGACCATGATGCGCGGGGCGCAGTCGGGTGGTGTCGTCACTTTCGTGGGGGAGGAGGGGAACGTCAGAGGCTTGCGAGCCCGAGTGGTCAACTTGAAACGCACGACACTGTCGACCTTGCTGCGGGCAAGGCTGAACGCAGTTGAGTGGTGGGCACGCTGGCGGGGGCCTTTGATGGGTGCCGGCAGGCTCTACATGGGGCACACTCGCTTTGCTACGAGTTCCAAGGCCACTCTTGAAGGGACGCACCCCCATCAGTGGACGCCTCCTGAAAAGCACGAGGTCTACTTGGGCTGGGCCTCTGGGCAGCTGCGAAAGGTCAACGTGAACCTAGAGATCTTCATCACTCATAACGGCGACCTGGACTTCTTTGATGTGGGGGACAGGACCTACGACGTGTCGGACATCCAATCCTGGCTGGAGCGCGCCACGAAGCAAAAGAGGCCCGCCGACGTGGACTCCGCAGCCATCGCCGGCCTGATGGACTTGCTCCGAACCCAGGGCTGCTTGACGCGCAGCCTGCGTTACGGCTTCCTCTTCGTCACGGCGACCAACCAGGACTCTCTCGACTTCGCGGTTCCCCGCAAAAACGTCTTCGAGGAGGTGGCTGCGGTGCTGGAAACGGTGCTTCAGAAGTTCGATGTGGAGCAGCAGTCTGTGGCCCAGCTGAACGAGCAGCGAGGGTCTCTGCAGGAGGCCTCCCTGAGCGCCCTTCGAGACAGCAAGCATAGCAAGCTTGCAGCGGCACTTTCGTGTGACGAGACGGAGCTGCAAAGCGTGATCTACACGGCCATCGATGCTTTCTTCGACAACGACTTATTGAAAGCCATGGAGCTCTTCATGGAAAGGGCCAAAGGCTCCTTCGGGCTCTGCGTCACCTCCTCTTTAGATGCCCAAAAGCAGATCGTCATAGCCGCCCGTGGCCAGAGCATGGCCGTGGCCTTCTACCCGGAGACGGGGCTCCTCCTCTACGGCTCCGAGGCGGCCGCAGTGAAGGCAGGGCTCAACCTTTCATGCACGGAAGCTGCGCCTCAGAAGCGCCGCCAGGGCCAGGGCTTGAGTCTGAGCTCGAGACTCTCGGAGGACTCTGAGAGCTCCAGCTCTGACAGCTCCAGGAGCCTGGAGGATGGGCATCCAAGGCCCGGCTCCACTGGGCCCGCCGTGCGTCTTGATTTGGATGACTTTGCCGGTGAGATTTGCCTCTTGGATTGGAGCGGCGGGGCGCCTTACGCCTCCTTCGCCCACCGGAAGTTGCAGCCACAAGCTATGGGCGAAGTTCTTACGCTCACCTCCCTGCGCGGTGGCTTGACGCAGGCGCGCCTCCAGAAGCGCTTGGTGGCCATTGAAAACAATCCGCTCGTGATGCCTTTGCCGGAGAGCTGCGGGGAGCCAGTGGCTAAAGACATTCGGGACATCCCCTCGGCTTTGGAGAAGATCCAAAAGGATTGGGACGCCGGCGAGGGCTTGAACCGGATCACAGCATGGACTTTGACGAGGGCTCTGAACCGAAGGCTCAGGGAGAAGGCTTCCGGCAAAGTCTCCGCAGATGCCGTGGATCTCCTGATCACCGGCTGTGAGGTGAGCTTGTGGCTGGGCGAACAGTTGGCAGCAGACCTCTCCCTGTGCTTCCAGCACTTGGTTGTGAAGTGTATTTCCAGCAACAAGATCCTCGGACACTACGGTCAAGAATACCCGATGGCACAGACCGGGCACATCTGTGATTCTTGGGACCTTTCTGGCTGCGTCGCCCTCCTTCTGAGCCACAGCGGGGGAACCTTCGCCACACTGAACGTCTCGAATCTCCTGCAGGCCTTCACGACCAACATCTTCGTGGTCTCTTCCGAGTGGGACACGCAGATCGGAAAGCAGCTACGGCAGCTGCAGAACAGCTTCTGCAGCCGCATCTTCAGCGAGGACATCGGCCTGCGCCCGGCCGAGGCCTGTTCCGTCTCCGTCTGCGCCATGCAGCAGATGCTCACGCAGATCTTGCTCCACCTCTCCGCTGGCCTGCTGAAAGACCCCAGCTTGAGCCAACAGGTCGGCAGCAAGGCCGGGCAACGGCTCTTCGTGTCCCAGTTTAGATCGGGCAGCACCGCACAGTGTTCTCGGCCTCGCACGGTTTCGTGGTGTCTCGTGTTAGTGACAGTCGCTCGTTTCGGAAGTGTGAAGCCCGAAATCTTTGTATAGGTCCCTTGATGTCCCTTGTTCGAGGTGACGCACTCGGATCTGGCCGAGCTGAGTCGCATGAACCGCATGAACATCGATGCCTTGCGGGAGCTGGTGGAGCCGAAGATGGAGACGTGCCGTTTGCTGCGCCGCAAGGGGAGGCACTGGGCGCAGCACGTGCTGGAGGTGCCCCGGGCCTGGATCTTGTGTGCCTTGTACATCGCTGTCACCGTGACCTTGTGCAAACCTCCTGTGATGCATACCGCGAAATCGATGGCAATGGTGGAAGCGGGCTCCCTCGCATACCATGTGGCACTCGCTTTCGATGCTCTGCTCTACATCTTCATGCCGCAGCTTGCGATTCTGATGATTCGCTTGGTGCAGCGGCGGCCGTTACTGCATCGCATGGGAGGCCGGACTGTGGTGATCGGAGATGTGCCCTGGGTGGCTCAGGCGGCGGAGGCCTTCCTTTCGAAGCTCATGGCCTGCTCCTACTCCGCCACAGCTCTCAGCGTCTTCTCGGCGAACCCCGGCGACCACCTGGTCCATCGCATGACCCACCGCGTGGTGCGCGGCACCTTGCTGGCCTGTGGCTGCCCCGATGGCCGCTTGGTGGCCCTCAGCAACAGCGCCCAGGCGGTGTACTTGGCCGTGAACCAGGCGAGCTCCATCCAGTCCATGGGCTCCGGCTGCGAGAGTTTGATTATCGGCCACAGCCCCTTCAAGCTGCCGCTCGCAGCGCACGCCGTGACCCTGAAAACCAGGCGGCCCTTGTACCTCTGCGAGTTCCTGAAGCAGCAGGACGTGGTGAGAAGTGCTTCAGGCGAACTCGGTGATTTCAATAACCTGAAGACCCAGTTGAAAAGGAGGAGCTCGTCCCACCTCCAAGTTCAGGTTCAGGAAGAAGTTCCCGAGTGGATGGAGAAGATCCACCACAAGAAGCGGCTTCTTCAAGCCTCGGCCGTGAAGGAGCAGGATCTGAAGAGCTTCATGGAGAGCCTGGGAGTCGAGCACACCCAGCACGTCACCTTCGAGCAGTTTGAGAAGGGTTGGCGCCTGCTCCACGAGGACAAGCTGAGCGAAGACCAGCTGAGGAGGGCCTTCCACCACTTCGGGGCCGAGGGGATCTACCCAGTGGACTGCAAGGCTCTCCTTCGCATGCCTTTTGTGGAGATGCTCTCCTTGGCCCAGGGAAACCCGGCTCGCAAGAGCCAGACCCAACTCCTGGAGTCCAGTGAGGAGGTCTTCGGCGAGGCCTTGCTGCAGCTTGCGGACCCTCAAGACCATGTGCAGATCCTCCAATCACAATTCCTTTCCATGCAGCTCTACGAGAGCCGTATCGCCACACTTCAACGTGCGGTGTCCTTCTTCGTGATGTTCCATGAGATGGCGGGGACGATCGCGGAGTTTTGGCCACTGGTGAGCCTCGGCTTCCTGCGCTACCACATGCACCGGACACAGTCCATCATGCGGATTGCGACCACCGCCTCCCCCATCTCGGGAGCTGATGTGCGGCAGCAAATGCTTGAACTGAGGTCTGCCAAGGAATTCAATCATTTAGTGGGGAACGTCAACAAGATGGTTTCCCGTTGGCGTGCACGCAAAATGCAGTGAACACAAGCATCGCTGCTTTGTCTACCCATAAATAGGGTTGACCCGCATCAAGTAGGGTCTAGTTTCTGTTCCCGGCTTCTTCCATCTCACCCGACAGGGTGTGCGTATTCCTTTATTGTTATGCCTAGTCTTATCGCTGTGCAGCTGGAAGCGGAGCTTCAGCTAGGAGCATTGCGAGCCCAGATTTGAATTGGATTGTTTGGCCGACCGGTCACAACACCTTTCAGGCGGAAGGACTCGGACCTCGCAGAGAGTTGCAGCCCAGCAACCTTGAAGCCTTGAAAGGTATTACGATTCGTCGGCACGAGAGTCCTGCAAATCTAAGTCGAACGGCTTGGAGTGCCCAACAACGAGGTCGAGCTCCTGGCGAATGACCAGTACGGCCCCGAGATTTGTGCATGCCGGAAGCCTGCACTTCTCCGGAAGGTTTTGAGTGAGTGTATGTTTTGCGGTTTAGGATGGCACCCTGTGATCCAGCGCACCTATGCCACAGCGAGGAGTAGATGTTGCAATCGGGCCATCTGTCATTCTGCACGGAAGAACTAGAGTACTGTCTGGGCTTGCGTACGTCGATGACTAACTAGCCGCGGAATTGCGCTGCGCCTTCTCCTAGGGTCCTTTGTCTTGTAGTTTAACCTGTTTCTTGATTGTCTTTGATGGGGCAGGCACCGGCAATGAAGATGAGGCAACAGCGTGATATTATGTCGAAGACAATTCTTTCAGTTTTTTTGTGAGTAGGGGAGCCAAACGTGTAAATGTTGTCGGTTCCAGCTCATGGACAAAATCTGGGCTGAAAACTGTTTTCTTGACACTTCGAGCTGCATGCGTGTGGCTATAGCGGCTATAGTATGTGTTTCTGTTACCTCGCATTGCGCCGGACACTGTCGATTTCTATCGAATTCGCGCAGAAATTCGAAATTGCTAGTGCTGCTATACCACTCGGCACGACAAAGTTCTTGACTTTGCCAAGGCTCCTTCCGACCTGGGCATATCGCCTGTTCGACTGGGCGAGAAAAGGATTGCTCAGCAGTTCATGCTTGTAACACTGATGTCTCGGGACCTCCTGCCCTCCTCTTCCCTACGCCACCCCACCTCCCTTTTCATTGCGCCAACGACTGGGCCCAGGCGACCTGAAGCGCTTACAATTCACGCCATGCTTGGCCTCACAAACACTTGGTGTGTGGATGTCAAAACCGTTGTTGATGATTACGTTCTTGTTCTCGAGAACTTTCAGATTCAGGGCCCGGTCGTTTCCGACAAGTGCACAACCACGTAAGGTGTACGAGGCTGAGTCCTCGAAAGGGGCTTGCGGGCCTAACGCCCAGCAGCCCAGTCCCTGCGGTGTCAAAGGCATGCACGCGTGAGACCTCATGCTGCAAGGCAACTACTGTCCTGACACGACCCTGATATTCCTAAGGTTTGGCTTAAGGGTTTCGTCATCAAAGGGCTCTTCCTCAATTTCATGGAGGAACCAAGGCAAACGGTTCTCTTCAGCGAAGCACTTGCTCTGTAAGCTTCTGATGTTGACACGTGCCTGCTGATGCGTTCGCAGGGCGTGCAAATATAGCCCAGAGGCCTGCTCCGCGGATGGTACGACATGCGCAGAGACGTTTTCGCACTGGGCATGACCTTGGCAGAGGTATCTCACACTCCTATAGTTGCTTTATGAATGGCTGATGACGAGAACAAGAACGGTTTCAACAACAACAGTTTTGACATCCATACACCAAGTGTAAGTATGGCTTCAATCGTGAACGCTTCGAGTCGCCTGGGCCCAGTTGTTGGCGCAATTAAAAGGGAGGTGGGGTGGCGTAGTGAAGAGGAGGGGAAAGAGGTCCCTACACGAGGCCGAGGGCCTATTTTGCTCCGGTGCCTTCCTGGTGCACAAGTTTTCGTATGTCAGTCATGCGGTGTGGTATGACACTTTGAGCAAACATGATGTAATTTCGAAGGTCCGCCGCATACTTCCACGCATTGCGCATGTGTGGTGTTTCGGCTTTAGCTTGTAGAGTGCTTGCCGAAGTTGAGAAGCACATTGCAACCCTCCAGTAGTGGTAAGACAGGAGCAGTAATGGCACTTTGAAGTCCGAAACCCACCTTCAGGCAATTCCACGGAGATGAGTCAGTAGCAACACTGTAAGCAAGAAAACAGAAGCAATGGCATCATAGCTCGTAGAGCAGTATAAAGGAGAAAAGCAGCAAAAGCCAAGGCGAGCACAGCAGGATAGCTGAGTCAACACCACCAGAAACGGCAGACGGCACCCGAGCAACGCACCCTCTATCCATTTTCGTGGCGCAGCATGGGTAAGCCCTGCTTTGGTTGCACCATGGTGCACCTGCTCGAAAAAGTGGAACCTTGTCTCGCCTTTCTGTGGATGACAGGTTCCAACTGCGTCGCCTCCACGTCAATCGGCTGCCTGTTCTGCTGTAAGGCCTGTACTGGTAGCAAGCAGCACCTCTCGCTGCCCCCGCAAAACACGCGCGGATTCTGAAGCCGAGACAAAATGCTCGACTGCAGTCTGATGTCTGATCCGGCCAGGGGTGCGATGCTGAGAAAGTAAGGCGGGAAATGCTCAGACTCGATGCTTGTCGCCTTGCTTCAAAGAGTGGCCGGCGCCAGGAATGCCTTTACCTTCATTCCCCCGCAATCTTCCTACGCTGTGGAGACGGAGGTAGAGCAGGAGCCCTGCTACACTTCACTGTTATCAACAGAGTGGGAAGGAAGAATCTTATGATATCTTCCGTCTTATGTATGCCAGTCGCTGATGCTTTTGTAGGTATGGCTACAGTAGATGCTGGCAACAATGTACAAGCACCTGCAGGACGGCGAGAGTGCGCCGCGAGAGGAGCCCGAAGGGCCTTGCAAGATGTCGTACTTGATGGAGGCCCGAGCCTAGCACCAGCCTACAAGCCGTGCCAGAGAGCAGAAGACTTTGGCGAAACCTCGGCAGGGCCTGGAAGGTTCTGAGCTTTATCGGCGCGCAGCACAGGCATCGAATTGGCAAAGCGCTGCTTTGCAGAGACTCTTGGGACTGCTTGTAGCTTTTTGTCGAATTGTGCTCGAGGCCTCTGAGGTGCACTTCCTCACCACTAGGCAGGACTCACCTCTACCTCTGGATGTGGATGGGACTGAAACTTCCCTGCGGTTCAGGAATGGGAACCGGATTCCGATGGTCTGGCTCCGGCGAGAGAAAGTCAGTCCAGCGCGGGAGGTGTGCCTGAAGCTTGTAAGGCAACTGTAAGACTGTAAGGAAGGGCTTGATGAGTACAGGCCTCGGGTAGTACTCATGCTTGTGGAGGCCCAGACGGCAGAGGCAAGCGAGCTCCGGACTTATTGGCCAAAGCTCCGGGGAAAAAGTGGCACTCATTCCATCCGTCCTGAGGCCCCCGATCGCATGGAGCTTGGTCCATCTTTGCCACCCCTTGTGCTGGGGCCAGCTGGCACAACAGAACTTTGCATGGCAAACCAGGTGCTTCTCCATTGCCATGGCAATGCCACCGACATAGGGACCCTTGGTTCGCACACCTCCAACTTGCTCCATGATTTGTTCAAGCAGCGATAACAAGGATGATGATGGGCCCTTACTACGAGCTGGCGAAGGTCCTGGGAGTGGAGGCCGGTCTTTTTTGAATGTTGGCTTTGGGAAATCTCCCCGGCCGAGTGGTAGCAGGTCTGTGGTGTGGAGTATAGCGGATACGGCGCGTCCTCCGGAAGGAGCGCGCCGCAGTGCCTAGATGTCTTCAAGGTGTGAGAATGCGCGAATCTGCGCGAAGGCCCAGCTCCGGCAACAGCTACGCAGATGTGGAAGCCGCCTACGATTACCTGGTGGAAAAGAGGGGCCTCCCACCCAAGAGGAGCCAGGGCAAGATGCAGTAAGAACGTGCAGGGCACAACAAGCTCTGCTTGCCTTTTCAGGATCGTCGCGTATGGACAGAGTGTAGGCAGGCAGGCCCCTCAGAGTAGCAAGTCCCGCCACCTTGCACCCAAGCTGTTTGGCCCATGTCCCACAACTTGCCCAGTGGCCCGGCCACATCCTTGGCCTCAAAGAAGAGCCTTGGTGGCTGCATCCTCCACTCGTCTGGAAGCCCGGGGCGGAACGGGTTGGAAAAGGGCGGTGCGTGCGGGAGAGTGGAAGAACGGGTGGCTCATGAGGCCACTGCTCTCCGGCATCAAGGCTTCCGAGCCGATCTTTGCGCGTGTTGTCTCTGTAGAGGCGAGGCTATAGGCTTAAGTTGAAGTTTGAAGTTTCTGCAGGTCGTGGACCCAAAGCCGGACGCCTGCTGCCGGCCCAGCTGCGTGTGGAGCTGCTTCGACTTCTACCCCAACGACAGGCAAGCGGGACGCAGCTCGCGGGTCCTTTCAAGAACTTAAGGCGCTATATGATAGTTACTAGATCCAGCATCGCTCCACTTTGCGAGGCGAGTTCGGCACGTCCTGCACTTAATCCAGAGCGAGGCTTCATGTCAGAGCTCCAGGGCCTTCTGCGCATCGCTTCAGCGGCGCAAAATCTGAGCAAGGCTCAGCAACGCAACCCATCGCACCTTACACCACCGAGCTTGTGCACTGGAAGGGATGGGGTTTGTGATTGCGCAGCCACAGCAGAAGCATGATCCGCAGCAAGATACGAGGGTGAAAAGCACGCACGTTGCAAACAGCAAGAGAGCGACTGTGCCTCGCAATCAGAGACGCAGCCAATACCGGATCCCAGCAACTCGAGCATTTTGATAACTGACCTCTAGCTAGTGGGTGCGTTGGAGCCCAGCAACAAGACGGCCGCGCAACCTCGATGAGGCCATCTCTATAGATGAAAGGGACCTTCGGCAAACGAGCCAAGATAACCAGGCAGGCATGAAGAGAATGCAGCAAGACTCGAGCGAGGTTGAGGAGAGGGGCAGGGCCTGCCAAACTATCATTTTGGAAGCAGGAAGCTGATTCTGAAGAGCGATGTCGTTGTACTTCTCGATGATAAGGTCACGTGCCCCTTCTTCGTGATGCACGG